TTTAGATTTGGAGCTCTCTAAAAGCGCCCCTTTTGAAGCGAGCATCTTCCGCTGGCAGATCCGGCTCACGTTGGTCATCTTCCGCTCGTAGATTTGTGCCAGCGCCCGCCCCTCGGAGCGCCTCCAACCCCGCGGAACCTTTGATCCGCGGAATTTAACGGAGCTTGGCGGAAGTCGACAGAAGCGCGCTGCGTCATTTCCTTTCACTCGGCGGGGCGCATGCGCGGCGAGGTCGCCGGACCAGCCGTCGAGTTAGATTCGTTCGAACTCGTCGGTTGTTTACGCGGGATCGTGATGCCTCGAACGCTCCCACCTCGCGTGGGTCAAAGGCGGGACTGGCGTGACACATCTGTGATCCCGAGAGGAAGAATGAGAAAAGGAACGACAGAAAATCCCAAGAAAGCAGACGCAAGGTTAGGCTTAGGCCTTTTTACACTGCATGCCGCCGGCGTTTTCTCGCTATAAAGCAAGAACAGACTAGGCAACTACTTGCAAGTTATGGTTTGCTACCCCTGTCTTTATTTCATTCTTCTGTGCAATCTCAGCCCCATCGATCGCGATCGATGTGCGTGCCCCGCTGCTCCGAGGCGGCCGAAAGGCATATATATGTGACGGTGGCCAATGCGGATGTCTTCCTCGCAGTTTGTGACACATAGGCTCCGTGGTACGGATAATGCGCCCGGCCCGCGTCGCGTCTTGTTTCTGCAGCTGAACAGTGAGTGGTCGTCGGAAAGCACAGTCGGCTGAGGCGTTGATCGGCTCGTCTAATTTGAACAGCGGTGAACGGCAGACCGTCTCCGGCGGGTCATTCCAAAAATGTGCCTCCATGTTCCGCTCGTCGATTTGGAGCGGACCCCACGGAGCGGATTTTCGCCTCTAGCGGATTTTGGAAAGCGCTCCAAATCTACCAGAGGCATTCACCATAAGGCCGGGGTCACAATGCTTATACACCATACAAAAGACAGTCTGCATACAGATTCGAACGCGACTCGCCACGAGACCTGAGCTCCGAATGCCGCACGGCAATGAGTTCAGGGAGAAACTTGACACGCGGCATTCGAATCACGGATATTGCGATGACTCGTGTTTGCATGGAGAATGGTTGGCGCTTTCGTTCATTGTTTCGAACTCGAGGGAGTTCTTCGGAAGCGGACCATGCAGCGCTGCGTGGCCGTAATCGTCCACGTATGGGCTTGTGCCGTTTGCATTTTCGAGGCTATTCCGGCAATCACTGCGCCGTCCCGTGCTCTCTCGGCGTGGCCAAGGGCCAGTAAAAATAGCCGTGGTTGCTGCCGTGAACGAACGCGCGTCTGCGTGGCCGCGTAAGTCCACAAAGCGAGCTGCTTTCAATGCGAATCGCTAGAAAAAGAAAAAAAAGTATCAAGAGGATTATTTGTCCGTTCGCGTCAACCTGACCTTTGTTGACATGCCGGCGGATCGTGGGCGCCGCCATCTTGAGGCTTCGAATCGCGGGGGCCCCGTTTTTGCGCCCTTTGTGAGTGGAAGTTACGGCGATCATCGCGGCATCGTTTTTCTCTCGGAGCTGTTTTTGCGAGCAGGGCGACGGAAAGCGCGGTTTGCATCTTTTCGTCGGCCACGTCGACGGTAAAAGCTGGCGACAGCCGGCTTCTACGATATCTCCCAAGTGTCGCTACTCTAAAGCGTAGCTTTTGTAGTGGCCGGAGTTCTTCCGGTGTTTATTTATACCGGAAATTGGCGAATAATTTTTATATGTTTACAATATAGGTGTATTTCGGTGATCTGTTTCAGATCGATTCTAAGAACGGTTTAGACAAAAACAGTCCTACTCGAATCAAACATTTCCAGAAGTCGGTGTCTCTCGGTTTTAACCAATCGGAGGATTATTTATCTCGGGTTCTCGAAGGACCAACACGATTTTATCAGATTTTTCGGTTTTTTCCTATCTTGAATTTTCGACACCGACATATGTTTATCGGTGTTTTGGGGGTAAAACCGGAAAATCTCCGGTCGCGACGCCTCCCGCTCCTGGAAGGGAAAGTCGGTCGTCCGCCCTTCGGGTGCCGCGGCCTTCCGTTTGGCTCGCGTGTGGTGAGCCCATTGATCGCAGTTCCCCTGAACCCTGACTTTTGGTCGAGTGCCGTTCCCTGGCGGGTCGATCCCCCACGCGCTGCTATTTCTGCCGCTTCCGGCTCTCCTTTCCCGTTTACCATTACGCTCTCTGGGAACTGCGCCTCTTTCGGGTTGGCCGGTGGCGGTGACACATACACTCGTGTTTGTTGGTGAATTACACCTTGCAGCGAACTTGGTCACCGACAGAATAAGAACGACAAGGAGGGCTTTTAGCTGTCCTTCCTTCCACGCGAGCTTTCTGCTTTAGTTTCGAAGATATGCGGATTTGAAAGGGCTATGCAACAATTTTTGTACTTTACGCAAATACCGCTCAGAACGGATCCCTGACGTTGGACCTATGAAACGCGCGTTCGTTTTTCACCCCCAGAAAAAAAAAAAAAAAAAAAAAAAAAAACCGAGCAGCGTTCACCCCCTTTACCATGGGCCGCCCCCCTGGCTACGTGCCTGGCGTGTGCACGTCTTTTGGTCTTGGTCGCGCGACGAATCGACGAGGTTTTCCTCCACCCGTCCATGGTGCGTGCGTTCACCGAACTGCCACCGTGATATACCGCTGCAGCCCTTCGTCGGGTTTTCGGTCCCGCGCTGATAAAGAGCCTGTTTACGGGTTGCTGAAGGCGTCCTTTTCGCCGGACTAATCAGTCGCTTGCGTTTTATCGCCTGACACCACTCTCTGCGCCGATAGTGTGCTCAGAAAGTGTCATCACGCGGCACAAGACCGACGGTTGGCTTGTCCGATGAGCTCGTAGCTTCCCCTGCCTCGTCGGCTTGTAGACCCAACATGTAGACTACGACGAAATTTCCAGTATGAGCCAGCAAAATGGCGGGCGGGAAAGGAACACAGAGGGAAACACAAAAGGGTGCACACCTTGATTCTGCATGTTTACGCAGCGCACCGGAGCGCCTCTGCGGTGCGCGTTGAACGTGCGCAGGGGGGATCGGTGGCCGAGTGGGCTAAATGTAGGAAAAAATGTCCCCGGAAAAAAAAAAAAAAATAGAAATAAAAAGGCCCCAGGTGGGAAGTAGGAAAAAATGTCCCCAAAGGATTATCTATCTCTGGGTTTCCCTGATCCTCATGGCCTTCGGGCGGTCCGGTCATATGTCCTTGGGAAAACAAGGCACCCTGTGGCAAGTGGAAAAAATATGGCCCCAACAAATAAGGAAATACTGTGTGATTCCCCGAGGTACACATTGTGACACTGTTAGCGCGAACACGACATCGGCGCATTTTCATATTTTACTTAGAAAGAGTACTAGTGGCAACGAAATTTTACCGTCTGCATTATATCCCCAAATGAGCACTTTCAGTATCTATGATAACTTGGATGACAACCCTTCGTTTCTATAAGAAAAAAGAAAAAGAAAAAAAGAAGGAATAGCGATCGCGTGTTCGTGTTAACAGCGTCGCACTTTTTACCTATTTGGAAATGGTGCACAAGTACCTCTCCAATTTCCCCAAACACAATAATTTGTTTTGGCTAGAAGTGTTATAAATGTTTATTTCAGTGGAAAAAGAAAAAGTTGAAATGCAATGTTACAAAATCAGGAGTGAAATGACACGCTCTATACTCATACACAAAAGTCAAAAGCGGACGTACGGCCGACGGCACACATGGAATCGTCTATTGCGAGTGCCCCGGCGGCGTAGTACCTTTCTCAGAGGCTGTGAAGACGGTGTTGCATTTCGACGAGTGTGGACTTGCACCCCTCTTTTTGGGGGGAGCACCGACTCGATCCTGGGCAATAACCCTTTGGGGACATTTTTTCCTACTTTCCGCTTTCCACCTGGGGATTTTTTTTTTTTTTTTTTTTTCTTTTTCGGGGATTTTTTTTTTTTTTTGGAACCCGAGTGGGCTAACGCGTCTCAACTCGGAGCGTGGAGCGAAAGCTTGCTCTAAGGACCTCCTGGGTTCGATGCCCACCTCCTGCCCGTTTCGATCTGGATGTGTTTTGTTTGTACCGGCACGCGTTCGTGTGATCGCTACTGCGTGGTGCACGTTACAGACCCCAGGTTAGTGGTTGTACTGCACGGGCTAAATTTCTCATCTACAGCTGAGAGACAGGTACGCCCTTGGAGGCGTACTAGTATCGAGACTGTATAAACTATAAACATACAAGCAACACAATTTTTGAACGTACGCCAGGCCAGGGGCGGATGCAGGAATTTCCTGAGGGGGAGGGAGGGGGGGGGGGGGGTCAGGTGTTAGTCAGCATTCCATATGTTTAGGAACCCCCTTCCCCTATCCTTCGTTCTACGCGCTAAATTTTACGCATGCAGAAATCGAGAGGGGGGGTCTGGACATCCGGACCCTTCTCTAAATCCGCCCCTGCGCCAGGCTTTGAAAGAGCTTCCCCACTCTATGGTACTATAGCCCGTTTCAATTTACGGTGAACCGCGGACGACGCCACGAAGCCAATCAAATGGTGTGAGAGCGTCGTGTGACTTGCGGGAGGACCGTGGGTCACGTGATGCATTTCATTGCGTTCGAAAAGGCCTGGATGGCTCGGAGCGTCCGCTGCGGTCCATCGAAAGGTGAAGCGGGTTTTTTATCGTTTCCATGGAGGGTAGGGGTTCCCCCGGGTCCATCCAACGGTCCTTACCCTTTACGATCGAGCAAACGGCGGCGCGTCCGCCAAGCGACAGGGAGAGCGGAGTGAAGCCGGCGAAGCTTGGCAGCCATCTGCGGTTTCCCCGCTCCAACCGGTTTCCGGGCGCGCGATTTGGGCGATTCCGGCGAACGCCGCAGCTGCGAGCCACCGTCGCAGCTGCGATGGAAGGCGCCGACGCGGCGCCGATTCCGTCTAAAAAAAGACCCGGAGGAGAGGGGGCGGACCAATCTTCGTCGAGGACGGCCATATCACGTGATCGCGCGCTGCCGCAACGCGGAAAAATCTTGCTTGCTGCTCTCGGCGCCCGGTCGCAGCGTTTCGCGGCTTCTGTCGGATGCGCTGGGGGGCTTCCGTATTGGTCCGTGCAATTCGTGGAATGTTGGGTTTCTTTCAGAAATCGATCTGCTCGTGGTTCTGTGTCGGTCTCGCCGATACTGTGTGCGCTATATCGCAGTTTTAGTGCTTGTAACAAACGTCCTTTTTTTTTTTCCCAACGCAGTTTTTTTGTGTGGTTTTTTTTACTGGTTTGCGATGTCAACGCGCGCCGGCTTCAACGGACGGCTCATCGCCGAAGTGCAGAAGCGACCGGCGCTCTGGAACATGTGGGTCGGCGACTTCCGGGACACGGACGTTAGGGAAGCCCTCTGGGAAGAAGTGGTGGCTGCTCTCGCGCCTGACAGGTGCACCGGTACGTACCGACTTCCTCAATCGTGAACGCTTCTCTCTGGACGCTCATAGGGTGGATCAAGCGTGAACTAGAAGTACTCAATAAGATATGCGCCTAGTGTATGGGCACTCTGTTCCCCGATTATATCGTAGGCGTCGCCATGTTAGTGCTTAAAGGTCGACGTACAACCTCGGTTTTCCGAAGGGAAGATAATCCTCTTAGCGCTCCCCTCTCCTAAGCTGCAAGGGAAGTCAAGTTATAACGAGGCAAGATGTGGAGAGGATATAGGGGAGGAGGATGCGGGCAAAAGTGGAAAGCGCGAAGTGTACGCCGACCTTTAAAATATTGGGCGCAACTTGCGATTTGAAAGTGTGGCTAACTGAGCTGGAAAGTAAGGATTCGAAGAGGAAGCTCGGGCGACATCGTTTTGTTCTGTCGCGGACTGTTTTAACGTTTCTGGAGGGGCTGAAAAGGGTTCCCTGTGATTTCAGGTACCAAGATAGCCAAAGTGGCGTTACTGCAGTGCGGAGCATGGTTTACTTAGTGGCTAGCGCCGAAGTTATTGGCTCGTGGTCGCGGCTTTCATTGTATGTGTTCGATGCCTCGAAAGGGGCTCATTCGTCCGGGTTACTCGACGGAGCAAACTAGTGTAGCACACGCAGGATATGGTACAGCTTAGCGTGTTTCAAAGACTGTGTTGTCTATATATCTGCTTTAATTTAGCTGCTGTCTTATACTGTATATTCGCTTGCTTCCAAGCCAAATGGGGACCAGAGCGAAGGGGATGGGGAATTTGTGTGTGTAGTCCTGTGCAACTTTTTTTTTATTGAACCGTTTTATTATTTGTTTATTTCTAGTAGTGAAATAAGTATTTATTCGATTAAATGATACAGTGTCAAGATCTAAAGTTTCGATGTTACCTACCGCGCATTGTGCAATCTGACTCTCGCCTTTGAACGACTCGGCAGTCAGGCGCTTACCTGTTTGTCGGTATTTTCAGAAATAAAAGCGGCTTATTTTTTTTTTTTTTTTTTTTTTTTTTTAACGGAGCTCGGGAGTATCGTTCGGTAGTTTGCTTCGTCGTAGTGTCCTTAGGCTAACCTCATGCACCACGGACGTTGCAGTGCAACAGGCCAAGTCCCGATGGAGGAACCTCCGCGACACGTTCTGCAAGAAGTGGAAGGCGGCTCTGCGGTCCAACAAGAGCTGGACCCACGGCACTGTCTACGGGAAGGAGTGGGCGTACTTCTCGCGGCTCACCTTCCTCCTGGAGTGCCTGAACACGCAGAGGTAACGGGCGGATCCTCCATTTGCACGGCTCTGCATTCACCCCACAATACGGGCTGTCGGACCAATCGATCTCCTCCCTCTCGTCACCTGACCCCGCTGTCTGCCGCGTGGGTGGGATCACGTGACGATGTTTAGACGAATGGCCGGCCAGACGAGCACGCAGTTCCACCGCACTCTCCGCTTACCTTCCGTTGTACGAATTGAGTTTGAACAGCTCACGCACGCATAACATCTACCAGGGAACCAAAAACATAAACATTCACTAGGGAACCAAGTGATTTTGCCTTATCCGTGTCGCATTACATCAAAACGTGTAAAAACTCATCCACTTCTTTTACCTTTTTACGTGATTGTGAAGACGTTTTTAAGCTATGGCTTCGGAGTTCACCGTGCCAAGTAATGGAACGATATATCTATCGGTTTAATTTTCCAACACGCATATAATGAAGCAAGGTAAAATGTTTTAACAACCTATAGCAATCCATTCTGCCGTTGCCATTTTGAATCCCGATAACAGGTATCCATCTTGCGTTCATAGCTCTCTAACACATAAATAATAATAAGAAAATCCCTTTACCTGATTTGTTACTACTTTTCCAGGGTGACTGCGGTTACGACCGTCAATAACGACGTCAAGCCCGAACTACAAGAGCCGGAGAACATTCTGCCTCTGCAGGTGTATGTTCCGGCGTACGACGAAGCAGTCGAGGAGACTCCGCCGTGTACCGCCGAAGACGCCGCCGCCGGTCCCTTCTCGGGGGCCGAGGCCTCCCCCGGCGCCAGCAACGCCTCGGCGAGCACCGAGCCATCGCGAGCGACGGGACAGGAGGACAGCGTGAACCTCCCGTCGGCCTCGAGCAGCGTGTTCAGGTTCAGAAAGACGCGCTCCAAGAAGCACCGGCTCGGCGACAAGGCCGACGAGGAGGAAGCTCCCGAAGAGCGCCCTGCCGCCTGTCTCAAGCCTCTGGATCCCGTCACGCATTTCCTTCTGGCGTTGGAGCCGTACCTGAAGAAGACGCCGGAGTCGATGCTTCCGCAGTTGCAGATGGAACTGCTCAACACTGCCGCGGCCTACAGTCGAGGGGAATATCCAGAACCGCTCTTTCCGAGGCAGTAGGCTCAGAGGCTGGTTCACATCCTTACGTCTGCTTACGAGTCACGACCGAGTGCCTTCTCTAACTACGAGAGAACACAGTGCTGTCGGGTAGAACTTCGTAAATGGCGCTGGCGTGACAGTTTGTTGTCCCGTCGTAAGAGGTCGCAAGAACTCGGTCGTAGGCAAACAGAAGCGTGTGAACGGGCCTTCGATCCTCTGTCGTGGCTGGCTTTGGGAAGCTGTCGGCGATGTGTGCGAACAGCGTCTCTTCTATGTCGCATTTCCTTGTCGGCTTCTACTGGGAAAATGGAAAAGCTCGATGACGTGCACTGCATGCAGTCGCGGGCTTCCACCGTGTTCATTTCATAACGCTGTAGCTCTGGTTGTTCTCGGCGGCTGAGAATAAAGCGACATGGCAGTTGTGTTTCGTACTTGTGACGTTGCGGGAAACGAAGTTACGAGTGTGAAATGTAAAGTTACCGGTCTGGTTTTTTTATTCATGCGCACTGCTGGCTCTTTTTTACGAGCTCTGGCAGGTGTGGGTTGTACTCTAACTCGTAAAAGAAAAAAATAAATAAAAGAAAACAAAACAATGGATTGCACGTACCGAGATAGAATACAAGAATAGCATATCAGCATCGACATGAAACAAAATATAGCGTGTGGAGATAAATGCCCAGACAATATTCTTTAAAACTGCTGGAAGCTTCTTGATCACAAATGGCGACCCTCTTGCTGAACCATTTTTCCATAATGATTGGGATAGAAAACAAAATGGTGTGCAATTTGGAACACCAGGTAGCGCCTCGGAAGCACGCCTCGTTCCCCGAGTGTTTGATGAGGTTGGACTTTAAGGAGGAACACGGGGCATGGAGAATGATTTTCGTTTACTTCTTGACTGGTAGTATGTTGCGGTTAGAAGAATCACGCTCGAAAGACCACCAGACACGCTGCGGCAACCAGTCAGGGTCAGGTCTCAGCGGCTCATCCCAGCTGCATGCTGGCAAGTATACACAACGCGACGACGGTATTTTTCTGCGAAGGCCTGTAGTCTCTATTTCAATTAGGACAATTAAGATCTACGCCTCCAGGCGCATTACTGGGGCGCAGATCGATCCAGCAATCCGTCCGCGGAGCGGCAGGAATTCTATCAGTCAATTCGCAGTCAGATAGACTGCGATCCTGCAGGTCGTATAGTCTATCTCAGCGCCGGGTCCTGGAGGGCGAAACTTGTTCGGGAGACTGGCACGTGAAGGCATCGCAGCTTCTTCGGGAGTCTGGCATGACTGGCACGCGAAGGCATCGCCCCGTGCTGGTCGCCATTTCGGGTCATTGTTTTTGCCTAGAAAAATTCGGTAGAGCGAAATGATGATATGCTGTGGAATGTGCGCTCTCAGCAGCAAAGCCACCAAAGTGGCCACCCATACGACGTTAGTGCAAGCCGCGCATATCGCCGTCTGGTGTCACCTTTGAGGTTTCAGCTTGGTGCGTTTGAGCGACCTTGTATACGTAAATAAGCAGTCGCAGTCCCGTGTTTCCTCCGCACCGCTATCCCGTCGGTCTCTTGGCGCTTCCACCTCAGCGGCGCTGGCACTGTTCAGCCTGAATACGAGTACAAGCTATGAGGGGGCGGTTTTGATCACGTGTTTTCGAACCTATATATTTTCGCGGCTTCGTTTTTAGATCATCGGGTGTTGCGAATATCTCATTCGCTCCAAAAGGCTGGCGCGAACGAACCTGTCGCCACCGCTTTCTGGTCTAGCCGCTGGTAGCTGTCGATTTGGCTGGAGTCGTGAATAAAACACATGGCACCACCTCCACCGATCGATTCAGCACGCTGTCCGCTATAGCAGGTATTGAATGGCGCTGGCCCGACCATTTTTCTCAGCCGAATCGCTGTTTTTCCGATCTACCGACTCTGCGCGGTGCTTCCGTTAATCAACATGCTGTGACGAGGACTGTTATAAATCGACGGCGACGACACCGTGGTTATATCTGCGCGCCGAGCAACGGAAAAGAAAGTACAGAAAGAAGTCATATGAACATTATACGCGGACGCGTCGCCACCTCGAATGGCGGAAACATCGTTTTGCTCTCGCCGTTGGAACTTGTTCACGCCTCATACATAAATATCACTCGCTCTTCTTTTCTCTCGCCTAAAAGTTTTTTTTTTTTCTTTTAATCTTTTCTTTACATTTTTCAGATTGAAATGATTATTTCCTTTTTCGTCGCTCACACTACGAACGACGTGGCTGGGGACGAGCAAAAAAGGTTTATACCTAAGCTGCTTTTGGGCCATTCAGTTATTTTCCCTGGTTACGTGGCCCCTTCGTAGTGAAGAAAAGAATCGGACGGAATCGTAACATAATTAACTGCGAGAATTTACTGTCTTTCTCATTTCTTACGTTATAACTCAGAATGTTCTCGTCCGCGGCACAAACTTTGGCTTTAGGTGATATAATTTCGTGTTCGTCTGTAAGCTGTCGGTGCAAGCGAATGTTTAGGAAAGCGTGATCAAAATAGAAATTATTACGGGGCAAGCTGTTGCGAAATGCTCGCCTCTATATTTGGTATTTATAGCGTCGCGTTTCTGCTTCAATAACGTAATGCGGAACGAGATAAGGGGAGCGGATACTTCCCGCGTGGCCGCCAACGTGAGGCACAGGCGGCAGAAAGTAAGGCTGTAGTCAAAGCTTTCGATTGTTTTGCCTATAATCTGTGTGGTTTTTCAGATTGGGGCCGTGGTTACGAAACGTCGGCTCATGCTTGAACCTGTGCATGCGCAGCGGGATACGTTGTCTATTAAATTGCGGGCTTGTTTCGGCGCTCTCGGGCGAACTCGATGGGCCAAGCTCAGCATGGAACTGCTTTGTGTTTGTTTTTGTGGTGTATACAATCGGACCACGACACTGGTTCATTGTCGTGATCCTGCTGGTCGTATATCAGAACTCCGGAGATCAAATTCGGAACAAGAAACAGGACAGTGTGCGTGCATTCAAGTTTGCATTTACCTTTTTTTACGTTTACGTCTGCCGTTCTCACTCACCCTGTATACGTCACGGACAGAGTGAGAACGGCAAGGCGTGTCTTTCGAACGTCCGACCTCCACACGCGTTCCACGCCTTCCGCCTGCTTTGGCTCCCTGCCATTCTCACTTTGGCAGCGACTATGCGGGCAGAAATTGGGGGAGAGGAGGAGACGAGAACGCGCGGAGACGTCGGAACGCCGAGTTCTGGTTGGAGTGATCCGTGGGTAGAGCTAAAGTTACTTTGTCTCCACTGCACTCGTCAAACGCGTTACAACGCTACCGCCGAACGCCGGCGTTCTGCGTTCTAACATGTTCGAATATATATATATATATATATATATATATATATATATATATATATATATATATATATATATATATGTATGTATGTGTGTGTGTGTGTGTGTGTATTTTTGCGAGGAACAGTGTTGGCAGATTACAAGTTTACGTCTTACAAGCACTGAGGAAACAATAATATTGGCCTCAGAACAGTTTCTTTGTGGCGGACTGGAATTCGTCATAAGTCCTCACGGCGCGCAGGAGGTCGCGTCGTCCGCGCACAGCATCCGGATTGTGAAGCTTTTTTTTCCCGTTGTCGCATTTAACATGTCCGCGTTGAATCGCCATCTGTTGCAGTCCTGGAACGGATTGGTTTTACGACCCTTCTCTGCAGAGTTTCGGATCTCCAAGCGGGCCGCGAAGAGCTTTTTGCAGAACGACGGAAAGGATCTACGAACAATCTCACGAAGACTCGTTCTCGCCAGCCCCGTGCTGCCGTACCACACCACGTTTCTCGCAATTTTCGTAATGTAACGCGATTCCCTCCGCTAGCTTATTTTAGGTTATTTCGCAGCTCCGTAAATTGTCCCTTAACAGCGCGCATGCGCAGTATACAGAGTGGCGCGGGTATCGCGCATAGCGTAGCGAGAGAGCCAAAATGATTTACTGAATATCGCATGGATGCTCTCAAATTTTGGCGAATATTTATTGCCGTACTCGGTTCGTTCGTCTGTCATTTCTATTTACCGCCCGTGTTTGGTCCCCGAGAGCGCGTCTGCGGTACGAGTTTTTGTCGTGCTCGTCTTTGGAATGAAGGCGATTCACATTGAACGTCCAGCCGCGCTCTGTCTGTCTCTGGCTGTCTGTGTGTATGTGTGCGTGCGTGTGCGTGCGTGCGTGCGTGCGTGTGTTTTCGATTATGACCGTGTCCACCATACTCGTAAGTGCGTCCCGCGAGGGCGACAAGAGGAATCCTCGTCTTTTCGTGTTTTAAAATAAGTCTTTCGTCTTTCGACCGTGTTTATTTATCTATTTTTTGCCCCGTCCGCCGTTGTTCAATTCCCTTGTTCGAAATTGAGCGTAAGGACGGGTATTGCTGTCGGATTTTACTATGAGCTGCAATGAAGCCGTCAATCTTCCAATTGTATTCACTTCTTTTCTTTTCAACAATCTCAGTGGCGTTATCTATTCGGTAGCCCCTCACACTTCAGGTTCACGTATTTTTTTTTTTAAATTCTTTCACTCGTCATTTGTTCATCGCAAGAGCGAAATAAGTCTGACAGTGCAATAAGTGGCTATTTTCATAAGATAGCGTGTATATTTAATTTCGCAAATATTGTGAAATCCGCCGTCTATACTCTTTTTCACCTCAACTTGTGCACCGGCGAATTATCCTCAAAGAGAATTATAACAGTGCGCCAACCAACCAGTGCCGGGTGTCCTCACCCGGCACTCCCACTGGGAGGAGTCACAGTGCATGTTGACAGTTGATTCAGCCAGCGGGTTGCAAGCAGGTTTGTGGCGTGCGTATTCGTAGCGGTCGCTCGTGGAGGAGCGGACGTCTGTGCTATCGATTTAGAACTGCACAGGCCGACGTCTCTAAAGAATAAGAAAACACAACGATAAAGTGGTAAAAGAAAACCGAACATGCGGAAGAACGCAATCGAGTCGAGCACGTCGAGCATTCGATTCCCCGAATACAACAACAGCATGACGTCACCGAGTTAACCGGACGCGTTCGTAAATTCAACACTCCTTTGACGTGGCGCAAAGAAGTAGAGAAATAAGCCTCGTTTACATGAAAGCGACTTCAGCGCATCGACTCCACTCGTTCTTCGAACGAAGCCGACGCGGCAACGTTTACATGAATGCGCACCAAGCCCTACACGAAGGTGGCGCCACACCGTGTCAAAGCTCGAAGTTATGCACTTCCAGAACCAGCCGCACCACGTTTTCCGGTGCATCGCGCGTGGAGTTCTTTTCGACGCATTCAGTGAACGTAAAGATCGTGCCCGCTGTCTTCGGTGCTGTGGAAGAAGTTACGAGACGGAAGAAACATCAAAACCCAAGCGTTTAGGGCTCCAGGCCGGGCCGCCGGGTCACTCTCGACCTGGGTTTTCCCCAGGAATTGAAATCAGGGGGGGTTTCTAAATTTTTTTGGGGGGGTTAAAGGGGGGGGGGGGGGGCGGGCATTGGGAATATAGGAGTCGTTGTGAATTAAGGGGGTGCCTTCAGAAAAACGAGGGGGGGGTCTAGGGAAATCCCTGCTCTCGACCAGAGGCG